TGACTGAGACAGGACATTTCATAAGTTGGAATTATAAATTAGAACTGCAGGCTACCCTCAGATAAAAAAAAGAATTTAAAAAAATTAGAACTATGGAGATAGAACTGAGCACAGAGATACTAAGAACTAATTGTGTCATATTCTTGTCATGTTTTCTTAATTACTGTTGAAAAGATTTGAGTCTTTTCAAGGAGGAGTAGTTTAGTTATAGCAACCATGATTCCTACAATCTGCCTTTTTAGTTTGGTTTAATTCAGTTATCTTGTTTATTTTTAGGATGGTAAGGGCTGAGCCCCTTGCTATGAGTCTAACCAGAGGGAGTGTTAAGTGCCTCTTGAGCCTTGGCTCCTTAGAGAGTAGGTGTGGAGAATTTGGGGTGGTTGTCCACATGAATAACAAGCACTCATATAGTCATAAGTAATCATGGTAGCAGGACTTAAAGTGGAAAGAGAGAGAAACTAACCCCAGTGCCAGTAACGTTCCATGGAGGGGTGAAATTGTCCTATAGTTAGTATTTGGAAGTGCTCTGGGGGGTGGGGGCTGCTGGTGTTGTACATGAGGATGGAGGGCAGTATTCGTAAGTGATTGTGGTCCCCCAACTGTGGCGGAGGAGCAGCTTCCAAGGACTACATGGTTGGTGGCATTTTCAGGAGAATCAGATTTCCACAGGGAGGTGAAAAGTTCAGTGCAGTTTCCCATAGGTCTGGCATTCCAGAGGGCAGTGGAAAAGTTGTAGGAAGGTAAGTGTGGGTGGCTGGAGCAAAGGAGAATAACAGTGGAGTGGAGGATGAGACAGGAGAGCAGTGGATGGGTCCCAGAGGCTTGTGTCTGTGGGTGGCCAAGAAGATAGAATTACAGTGTTTTACTTCTCATAATCACTGGTTTTCTTGCTACCTCTTCCTCTTGCTTTCTCCTTTTCCACGGGGCTCTTGTATACTCTCATGCTGTTACTTCCCTTATACTCTTCTTCTGCCTCACTGACCCATCACCCAGCCCTTTGCCAGCCCCCTGCTAGTGTCACTTCTTCCCTGCTCCAGCATGTTTAAACCCAGCTCTCCTGTGCCATATCCCCAGCTCCCTGTATAGCGGGCTTTCCTGTTGCACCTAGCTGGCATAGTCTGATCCCTGGATGCACACTTGGAACCTGTATCACTCTGCTTAGCGAAGCTGGAGAAAATCAAATAGCGGCAGAATCGTGGGTTGAGTTAGCTTCCTAATCTGCAGTGTCACCCTGGCTCTCAGTGCTGCACAGCAGATCCTGTCTTTCCTTAGGCAGTTCTGTCTTCATATGGCTATTTCACTTTTCTGAACCCTCACCCTGCTACCCACCCACACCTGTGCTCTGCGCATGGCCTTGCCACATTCTTCACAGATGAACCTTGCCTCAGCCTCCTGCCATCACGCCTGTTTCTGCTCTGCCTTTTTTCCACATATGGCCAGGTCTCTCCCATCTTTTAAAGTTCTTCATACACACACATCCCTCTCCCTCAAACCCATTTTCCTTGCTCAGTACTATCCTATTGCCTTTTTCTTCATAGCCAAACTATTTAAAATGTGTCTGTTCTTCCTTCTTTTCTGTTATTCTTTAGCTTGCTTTGCTACATTGGGTTTAGCCCTGTCACTCCTCTGAGGCTCTTCTTGCCAAGGTACATGTATGGTCATCTTATTGCTGATTCTAGTGGACTCTACCTAGTCTCTCTTCTCATTGGGCCTCTCTTTTGGGCACTGATAAGCACTTCTTCCTAGAAATGCTCATTCCATGGTGTCCTGGCTTCATATTTTAAGGTTTTCTTCCTACCTCTCAACTTAACTTGGTGAGCTCCCCTTCATCTGTCCGTCCTTAATTATTGGTGTTTGTCAGGGTTCTGTTCTAGGCCTCCTTCACGCCTCTGCTGCCCTTTACCTTCCCACCTACTGCCGAGGACTCTATTTCCTCCCTAGACCTCTGACCTGAGCTTTAGAATAGTAACCCCAGCTGTGCCTATTGGACATCTTAGAGGCACGCCATCATCATGTCCTGAGCAACCACCCTCATTTGTTCATTGGTGCACTGAAGGGCACTGTAACTCTGTCCAGTTACCTAAAGCAGAAACCTAGCCATTATTTTTTACTAAGTTTGTTTGTTGATTTGCCTGATTCCCAGCATTACTAACCCTCTGTATATACACGTACACAGATAGTATCCCCCCATTTTGTTTCTTTACTAGTTAGGCCATAGTCCTTTCTCACCCAGGAAACTATAGCAGTCTAACTGGTTTTCTTGCCTTTCATATTCCCTGCCCTGATATTAGTTCCATTTGTACACTCCAAAAGGAAATTTTTGAAAATGGAAAACCAGATCATGTCACTGCTTAAATTCTTCAGTGGTTTCCTACTTCTCAAGGTCAAGTCCAGACACCTTACCCTCTGAGCCCTGCTGACTTTCCCAGCCTCATTTCCCATTACTGTTTTTACTACATTACCCCACATTTTGCTGAATTTTTATACCCTAAAGGGCAACACAGTGTTCCTTACTGCTACTTTCCCTCACCTGTGCCTACTCTTCCCTAAGAGCTCTGCATCCTCGATTATTCCCAAGTCTGGGAAATTTCCCTTTTCTGTGTCTTTAAACGTACTCCTTACTTCTCTAACAGAGCAATTTTCAAGCCATAGTATAATGGACTGCTTTTTATAATACCTGAGTATATTGTGAGCTAGTTGAGGGTAGACACTATATACTGCCTGTCTTTGTTCTCCGTAATATTCGTAGCACCTAGTGCATAGCCTGTCATAAACAAGTATTTATTGTAGGAACAAATAGATGAGGTAAATTGTTATAGTTGTACAAAGCAAGGCTGCTCAAAAGATTGAATATGGACAAGTTGAAGGTTTGAAAAAAGACTATCAATTTATATTTCTTCCTAGCAGCACAGTAGGAACAGTGCATGTGATAATAGTTGTAACTTCAACATTGAACTAGAAATTGGACAAAACACTTGACCACAAGCAAGGTATTGGGGTCAGAGCAAGAATCTGAGTTTACCAAATCAAGACTTAACCATACATACTCCCCATTTAAGCAACCACCCCAGATTTAACAAAACTGGGTTTTGTCTGGTGAATGCTGCCTTTCATATGCTCGTCGGATTCAGTTATTTCCCCACTGCCAGTATTTGGAATCCTATTTCTGCTGTTCTTTAATACGGAAAGTCAAGCCCTTGCAGACTGTAATATAATCTCAATCACCAGTTGTATCTGGGAGCCATTTTAAGCTTTGTGGTCTTCTGTTTTCTCATATGCATCATAGTCAACCAAATAAAAAAAGATAATAGTAAAGAATTGTAAAAAAAAAAAAAAAAAGACCCACAGTTATATTCAAACTTGATTGCCTTTTACCAGCTTTCACCCAGCACCAAAATATTTTTATAGTGTTATATGTGACACTTTCTGTGTTATGCATACACTTCCCCAAGTTTCTACGTAGGCAGTAGTCACTGTCTTTGGACATCATTGCATTTTGCTTATTTAAAGTTTTTTCCCTTAGGCTAAATTCTCAGAGATGGGACTTCAGGGTCAGAGGGTTTAAAAATTAGAAGGCTTTTGCTTTGGGACTGTCTATTAACTTTCCAAAAGGGTTATACTGAAAGTTCTCAGGAATGTGAAAGTACAAGGTTTCTCAGTGACCTTGAAGCATTGGAATGAGTGATGTGAAGGGGTGAGGGAGGGGGAAGTGAGAGTCGTGTGTGTAAAATCTTACTGATCGTGGTTTATATGAGGTGTCACCAAGGATTTTATTTTTTTTTTTAAAGATTTATTTATTTATTTATTTATTTATTTGACAGAGAGACACAGCGAGAGAGGGAGCACAAGCAGGGGGAGTGGGAGAGGGAGAAGCAGGCTTCCCGCGGAGCAGGGAGCCCGATGCGGGGCTGGATCCCAGGACCCTGGGATCATGACCTGAGCCGAAGGCAGACGCTTAACGACTGAACCACCCAGGCGCCCCAAGGATTTTTTTTTTTTTTTTAAATATAGAGACATAGTATTGTGTCAGATGACAATATATTTAAATAAAAATACCTTTTAAAGAGTAATTGAAAATTTGTACCTGTTGCAACTCGGTTTTTTCATAACTCCTAGATATTCTAAATTTCCGAAAGGCCAGAACACTTAAGAGCTGGGTACATAGACTGAATTATTTTAACTCTTGTTAGAATTGTTTATATTGCTGTGTACTTTGCTGCTTGCTCTTAGTCTTTATTGAGAGAATTCTATGAAGCTCATGTTTTCGGGGCGTTGGAGAGTGTGTTTTACTGCACCCTGTAATAGATGCTTTGTGAAGCCCCTTGTGAAAAAGTTCTTACGTGCCCCAATGCCACAAATTGTTACGCTTTTCCAAGAGTATGTGGTTTCCTTCTGTCTAATAACTGTCAGCAACGTACAGGTTATATTTCAGTTGCTCAGAACAAAAACTGTGATCTGCCTCTAGCCTTTTCTTTTAGATGTGGTTTAGATTTTGTTAGCTCTCCATTCCTTTTGAGAAAGACTTAAAATTGTTTAAAATTTAAAATTGTTAAATCCTTCATAAAGCATTCCAGTATAAATATGATATTAGTATTTCTGTTATTTATTCCATTTATGCCTTTGAACATTTCTGGTTTAGAATTTTGTTCTACTAAAATTCACCAGTAAGCAGTAGAGAACCCTGTTGCCCTCTAGGTGGTGACAAACCTGTTATACAGGTCATTTAAAAGCAGACAGGAGTTGAATGCAAAAAGCATTGTGGAATAAAATAGAGTATTATCACAGTTTATATATACCTATTTACTAAAGTACTCAAAGTTTTTTTTTTTTTCTTCCTAAGGAATAGAGAGCCAGAGACTTGACAGTTTCACTCTGGTGAGCTCTCTTACAGCAGTCCTGTTTCTGTGATTAAACCTTGATGGGAAATCTGTCAATGAGTTGTTCATGCTGCTTGTAAGAAGTCAAACTGTAGAGCTTATTTTTTCCCCCTTCTTTCTCAGGTCATTTGGATCCAGGATTCCTAGCAAGTGACAAGACATCAGCTGGCAATGCACCTCTCAATGAAGAAATTAATATTGCCTCTTCAGATAGTGAAGTGGAGATTGTGGGAGTTCAGGAACATGCAAGGTAGGATATTAAGTGGAGCATTCTGATATTTTAAATGTGAATTTGATTTTAACCAGAAGCCAAGTGAGAAGAAAATGGTAGTCCTCATGGCATGGCTGGCATGAATGGTGGGAGCTCTCTCTCAGCTTCCTTTGGCTTAAAAAATGCTTTTTGATTAGACATATGAGCTTCAGAATGTGTTGCATATTGTCTCCTATCAAAAACTTTTCAACCATACATGTATGTGAAATAGAACTGATGTTTTCCTCTTTTATTTTTAGCAAATGTCTAGATAGCTTGACAGATTTTTCTCTTATGGCTTAAGTATCACTCTACTTTTCCCCCTGTCATTCATATTTTCTTGCCTTTCACTTTATCTGGAAATCTTTTGGGAGCAAACAATTGGTAAATATACATCGGACATCATATCTCTATTGCTTCTTTCCTAAAGCACCTCTCCTTATCTTTCATTAAAACTTGTGAGTTGCTCTGTCTGTTCCTAACATAGTAGATTTCTAGTGATGTTCATGTGACTCAGGCAGTCCTCTTTTTTTAGGATTAAAAAAAGCCACAAGATGTCAACTTTGTGTAGTATTACGAAAATTTTTGAAATTTGTCATTCTTTAGGTTTAGGGGTGAGCAAACTGTAGCCCACAGGTCAAATCTGGTCTGCTGCCTGTTTTTGTATGGACCTTAAGCTCAGACTGGTTTACATTTTTAAATGGTTAAGGGTAGGGGGAGGGGAGATCGAAAAAGGTTTTGTGACATGTGAAAATTATATGAAAAGAAATTCAAATAAATTGCATTTATCCATAAATAAAATTTTATGGGAACGGAGCCATATTTGTTCATCTACATATTGTCTATGGCTGTTGCCCTCCAGTGACAGTGTTGAGAAGTTTCAGCAGATGCCTCATAGCCCTCAAAGCCCAAGATACTTACCTCTACCCCCTTGTAGAAAAAATGTACTGACTCTCGCTTTAAGATAATGTTCCTAAGAATTAGTTATAGCCCTCTCAGAGGTACTCCTGAGGAACATTTCACACACACACTAAAGAACAAAAATGTAGACTTTGGAAAATCTGTATTCTACATTAGCAAACAACTTTTCTCCTGGGCCACAAGAGTTAAGTTGTGATTTCCTGATTGCCCCAAGTAGGTATATGACACAATATCTACATTACCTGGCTCTTAGATCTGATTTTATTCTTTGGTTAGAAAGGTAATAAAACATTCACTAGCATTTCTTCTGTCACGTATATAAAAGGTGAACTTAGGAGTGGAGAGTGCAGGCAAAATACACATGTGTGTAAATTGAGGCTCTGTTTGTCTTAATGAGAACTGACCCTAATTTCTGAGAGCATTTTTCAGGTCGTACCTGTTGGGACTTTAAGGATGTAGAGTTAAGTCATTGTTTAATATGTCTTCTCCCCAAAAGTGGCCCATTCTCAGATGTTATCAGACTTAAACACTTCCTCCTGTCTCCTGTGTTTATGCCATAAGTATGTCTGCATGGCTGCTTCCTTTTTTCTTTCCTGTTTTTAATGGTTATTTCCCCTATTCTGGTGGGAAAGAATTTTCATTCTTCAGTCTTTCCTTAATCTCCTTCTTTTTCCTTTTGTTTCTTCCTTAGTCAAGAACTTTTTCCTGTTCTCTCTTTTCATCTATTCCCTGCATGCCGACTTATCCCTCAGATGAGAGGATAGAGCTTCTGATTTTTTCCTTTACTTTAGCATGTGTTTGCCATTATTTATTTCACCATTGTTCCTTAGAATATAGAAGACATGATTATCCTTTAATCCCTACTATAAACCTTATCTTGCCTATTAACAAATTGATAGAGGTAAATTATCTTCAGTTTTGCCAGGAGCACATTATCCGTTCACCAACTTCCTCTTCAGTTACATTTCATGTTTTAATTCACTATTAGTCATGTGTTCCTACTGAAGTAGCAAAGAGTAGGTAATAACCTGTGTTGTTTACCTGATCTCTTTGTCTCTGAGACATACTACTTGGTCTAGTTCTCTATTAACATCTATCAGATCTCCCTTCTTTACTGTTTACTTGTGCCTAGAAGTGTTACAGAGTGAGCCACCTTTCTTCTTGGCTTCTTTGTTCAACTTTTCTTCCATCATAAACTCTTCAGCTTCTTTTTTTTCTACCAGTATTTTGGTATCTGGAGTTAAAATTATCATTATATTTCTGTTAAAACTTGGAAATTTAAATTCTAAGTTCTTACCCACCACACACACACACACACACACTCACTCTCTCTCTCTGTCTCTTTCTAGTATACCCGTCTCCATACTTAATAGGTCTTTTATCCAGATTGTCATTTTACTCTATAGACCTGTTTGTTCCACTCTTAAACTAAGTCAAGTGACTGGCTACGTTGTAAATAATACGCCGTAATGTTACTTTTCAAGGACTTTTTCCTTACAGGTTCTGGATCATCAAGATATGTTTTATTCTGATCCTTTGATTTGAATCCTGTGGAAATGCTATCTTAGAGGTGACAAATTGATTATGAAATCTCAGAGATGGTGATTACTGCCCATATGATAGAATGTACAGTTGGCAAGTTTTGTTTGAGTACTTTGAACTGACTCCTGTGTCATTCTGAGGGGATCTTTTATTTTGCTTTTTGGGCCTAGGACTGAATAGAGTCTCACTGGCTCTTTTGTGTCTTATTGAACATTTTTCCAGTACTTTCTTTAGATGAAGCCTGACAGTCTTTTTAAACATTTGAGATTTAAAAATCTGAGAAGCAGGTGGGGGGAGAAGCTCTCTTGGTTGCTTCAGAGTGACCACTTTGGCTGCCTGTATCTCATCTGGAATTTATTTCTTTTACAGGTCTAGGGTTGCAGTTATGAAGTATTGATGGGCTTCTGGCAGGGTTATCGCTTGGAAAAAGGTTTTAGGTTTTGATCCACATCTTTTCTAATTTGATTTGCATGCATAGATGTTTTGTGTGGATTTAGTTGTCCTGTTCTTATTTTTTCTTTTGATATTCTACCTTGCTGTGGGCTTTCTGAGAGTTTTTAAAAAACTCAGACTTGGTTCTTGAATTGTTCTCTTTGGGATTGTGATTGCTCTGACTTGAATTGTGTTGCCATTTTTCCATATTGGAAGCATTTTGTGTCACATTGACTCAGTAGTTCTAGTTATGTTGTGTCTTTTTTTTAAACAGTTCTTCTTTTCTTGCATGTTAATATCTTTCCCTGCTTTTTAAATTTAGATTTTGATATGTTCTCTTAGTTTCTGTGTTTCTTCTAGTCATAGACTAGAAAGCATGGCTTCTGAACTAATGGTTTGAATGCATCTTTTACGGCTGTCTTGTATTGCTGTGATTAACTCCAGATGTTACCTAAATGTTATCATTTCTAGATGTTAATTTTGGGACAGTCCATTTTCACAAGATGTTCTTCGCCAATGAGATAGAGACTTTTCCAGCACCTCTAGTTCCTCTGTGCCCATTTAATTTTGCAGAAGTTTTAGTTTATGACCCTCTGCCAATATTTTTCTTTGTCCTTGGTCCTTTTTCCTTTTCTTCTACTAGCCTCATTGGTAATTGCCCTAGGAAGATGAATGCATACAGAATAGGCCTTTCTGTTATGGAACTGTTGGAACAGTTTCTTTGGTACCTGTCCTGTGAAGCTTTTGGGAATAATCAGATCCTTACCTCATTTCACTGTAGTCTTTGGTCCTGTGTTCATTTGTCTTAATGTTGGTTCATCCCTCAACAGAAGAACTGATGCTAGAATCCTTTTGCATTTAAGACTGATTGCTTCCTAGAACCAATTGCAAACATTAGTCTTCAAAAAAGCAAGGGAGACAGACAGGCATTTCCCTGAAGCCAAGGATTCATTTCATCTTCACTTAAGAAAAATAAGTAGGAATGTTATCTAAGAGGTGACGTTCATGCTCTATAAATGAGAGCAAAAATGATTAATGTTTAATGTTGTTTTCTTAGGATAGTAAGTTAACTGTATCAAAAGCTGATCATCAGAGCCTGCCCTCTTTCTGTGTTTTTTCTTTTCCACTGTGAAGTCTCTCCTTTATTGGTTTCAGTATATGAAGAGCAGGAAATTATTCTTTCAAAACTTATTATTTATAAAGTAGGTTTTTTTTGGGGGGAAAGTGAGTCCTAAGCATTTTCTTGGATATAGGACTCAAAATATGACTCTAGGTTATGTTTTATGCCTATTGCCCATCATACACAGATTCGATGGCTTTGTGAAAGCACAGCCGGTATCTGCACTAGAATTGGATTGGATCAATTAAAAAACAGCTGAGTATGTTCCCACGCCAGATCTTTCATCATACAGAAAAGGGTTTTGTGATAATCCATGAAACTGTATTTTATGTTCCTAGCCTTACCAGAAATTTGAGCCTCTCATATCCTTCTTTATAGGGCATTTCTATAGGGCTGATAACAGTTGTTCTGGTCCCTTTTCCTCCTGAAATTTTTTCCCTCCCTATCTGGTATAAGTTGATCTATAATGTACACCATCATATAAAATAGTTGAACTGTTTCTCCAGCATTCTTTTGTTTACCAGCTTGGGTCTTTTTGCCCTGTACTTAAAAAGGAAATGTGGTAAAAGCCTTGTTCTGGCCTCATCCATCTCTTAGCTACCATTTTATTCAAGAAGGTTGAGGTCATTAAATCACAAAAAATTTCTTGAATGTTTTATTGGCTTATAACACACACAGAAAAGTTGTAAGTGTACATTTTACTTTTTGCAAACTGCCCACATTCAGGTAACTAGTGCTCTGATCAAGAAACAGAACGCCATCTTCCATTTACAACCTTCCCACCATTGTGCCCCTGTGACTACCAGCCTCACTTCTAAAACGAGAGTTTGCCTGTATTCAAAATCTTAAAGTCAGTACTAACCTTAGAAGTCATCTTAGAATACTCTTTTTTTTTTTTTTTAAAGATTTTATTTATTTATTCATGAGAGACAGAGGGGGAGAGAGAGAGAGAGAAGCAGAGGGAGAAGCAGGCTCCCAAGGAGCAGGGAGCCCGATGTGGGACTCGATCCCAGGACCCTGGGATCATGACCTGAGCCGAAGGCAGACGTTTAACCATCGGAGCCACCCAGGCGCCCTAGAATACTCTTAATATTCCTGACAGATACCCTAGCACTTGCTTGAACGTTTAAAAGGCAGTGTATTCCATTAGCTGTAATTGTTGTGTCGTAATGATCATCTAAAACTTCCTTCCATAAACGGATTCGTGGTTGTGAGTTTGCTCTTGAGATCTCTGTACAAGGTGGAGTAGCCACCTTCTTCCATGGTGATTCTCCCTTCTTTGGGAATTGACCTTCCAGTTGCAGTTAAATAGGAGCTGAGAAAGCTTTTGACTGAAGATGGGATTGTCACATAATCCAGAGAATCTAAAATTTTGAAATGAGAGAAACAGACTGAGAGGGTTGAGGCTTGAATCAAATGAATGAGACCTAGTTACTCCATCATCCTTAGGTTCTTTGAGGTGCTCAAGTGTCTTTCCAGCAAATTATTTTTTGCTTAAAGTAGTCCAAGTTGGTTTCCAGTAACTGGATTCATTTGTAACATAACTACAGAAGTGATCTAATTCAGAGAAGTGCCTCATCTCCTTATTCTCCTTCTGTGTCTGTCAGTCCTCAGTGGTATGCACTGTCTCTACACCTCTCACTCTCCTACTTTGAGTATGTTCTAGAATCTGCTTTGCTGTTTATTGAATGATTCCCAGGGGCCAGGCGGTGCTCCTTACAGTCAGACATAGTATAGTGCTTCAGGTGCAGTCTGAGGAAGGCGTAGTTACTTAGTGGAAAATAAACTCCCTGATGGAGACCTTTTTTGGGGTCCTGTGCTTAACTTGCTTAAGACCCTGGACAGTTGTCGTATGGCCTTGGTTTTCTCTTCTGTAAAATGATCTGATCCCTTTTATTTTATTTTTTAAAGATTTATTTATTTATTTTAGAGCGCGCGCACTCCAGAGAGCAAGCGTGAGAGTGAGCGTGGGGTGGGGAGGGCCGAGGGAGAGGGAGACTCTCAGGCCGACCCCACTGCGATCTGGGAGCCTGACACCGGGCTCAGTCATGACCTGAGCCGAACCCAAGAGTCAGACGCTCAACCAGCTGAGCCACCCAGGAGCCCCTGGATCAGATCCTTCTTAAAGCCACTCCCTTGTATGATTACTTAGGGAGCAGTGCAGAGTAAGAGTTGGGACTAAATACCTCTTTTATTTTGGAGATATTTCTAGGAATTCTGCCAAAGATTGCACTGATTCTCTCTCTAGCCATTCGTTCTCTGAATTCTGCTAAGTTCTAGCCTCCTTTAATTGGTACTTGTACAGATGAGCTTTTGAATTGTTGAAGAACTTTATATTTTTAAATTGTTAATCTGGGCCTATTTTTGCACCCGGCTTTACACTCACTCTGTTTTGCCTTATCTAATTTAATACACACATTTGTAAAGCGACAAGCTGATGTGAAAAGCAGTGGACTCAAGATCAGATCTGGCTTGAAGCTCTTTGGCCCACCACTTTCAAGCAGTGTGACCCTGGGCAAATCATGTCACCACTGAATCCTCTTTCCCTTTTGGTTGAGTTTGGATAGTAACTTCTGCATCTACCTCATAGGTCTGTTGGGATTGTCAAATGAGGTGAGACTGCTTAAGAAACTCAGTATGCTAGTGCCATCAGTCATCAAAACCATTTCTGTAAATGTTGCATGGACTCCTTTGGCTGACATTCTTCTGTGATTACAAGATCACTTCATCTGAGTGTACTTAATGGATTGGACAGATCTGGATTAGTCTTTGGACTTTATGTCTCATATTTTAGTGCTTTTCACTAGCTAATCTTTGAAACCATAGTAGCCTCTGGGTTAATAGCTACTTTGCCCATTCTGAACAGATAATGGGCTCTGGTATGGTAACAAATCTACAGTCTGCCCCTTGCTTTGGCCCCAGGGGATCTGTTTTTTGGCACCTCTCTTGGTAAAGGAGTAACTTTCAGGCTACCTTTGTAGGAGCAAGGCCTCTTTGCAGGATCTTAAGAGTCCTTCAGCAGTTTTGCAACTAAATCTTATCCATTGTTACCCTAATGTTCTTTTGCATCTGGTAGTGCAGGTAGCAGTGGGCAGAGCTGGAATTCTCCAGTGATCCAGCACCACTTGTTGTACGCAGCCTGTTCGAGCAGCTGCTCAGGACCCACTGTAGTAGTTTATGTGACTAGAATCCTACCAGCTGTCACTTTCACGTATATTACACAGGCTCTGGTCAGTAAGTTAGATGTGAGGACCAAAGGAGCACCAAAAGCTTGAGCGGCCTGCCTTCCTCTCATCAGAATCCAGAGTCCCTCAGTGAGTCATCCAGGAGGCTCACAGTTCTAGCATTTGATTGGAATGTGAAATTCATTATGTCAGTGTTTCAGAAACCGTTTTCTTCCAGTGAACCGTTGGTGAGATTTATCAGCAAGGCAGTTCTGTCCCTCTGATAAAGCACTTTTAGAGGACCTTAACAGACGGAGCCCTTCAGCCTTGTTACTTTCCCTGAACTAAAATATAAAACACATAAGCAGTTCAGATGAATGACCCAGGTGTTCTGTTGTGACCTTCAGGATAAGGGAAATTGATCCTTTATGCATGACCTAGTACTTACAGCCTCCTAGAAATCCAATCTGTAAAGGAGTATTACTGTTACTCTCTTGGAGGATATTATTCCCAGGATGGCATAGAACTTATTTAGGAGAACAGCTTATACCTATACTTCTTACTGTTTCATTTGGTTAGACTAAGATTGTTTGGGTATCTTAATTTTGCTCTGGATTTATATTCTACCCTGTCCTGAAGACCCCAGAGGTTTAATTGTGTTAAGAGAAACATTATGTTATCTGTCCATTTCAGTAACAGATCTAGATGTAACTCAGGAGTTTCTGAGACAAGATTCTTGTCTGTTTTTAGGCTAAATTGAGAGAGCTGGGCAGGTAGAGGAAGAGGGAGGAGGAAGGGAAGGATATTGGTTGTGAGTTTCATGAACTCACACAGTAGGCTTATCTTTGTAAAAGTATCAGTCGGTTCTACTGAAGCCATATTGCCTTCTATTTTCCCTGTGGTGGGATTAATCAGGCTTATGCTTTTGCTCTTCACCCTGACTGCAGGTGTGTTCATCCTCGAGGGGGTGTGATTCAGAGCGTTTCGTCGTGGAAGCATGGTTCCGGCACGCAGTATGTCAGCACCCGGCAAACACAGTCATGGACCGCTGTGACTCCCCAGCAGACTTGGGCTTCACCCGCGGAAGTTGTTGATCTTACCTTGGATGAGGATAGCAGACGTAAATACCTACTGTAATACACGGTCACTGTGTTTCCTCTGCACTGTTCCCTTCCACTTCCTCCTCCTCCTCTTTGTGACATGGAAGTTCATTGTCATAGCTTCAGCCTCAGAAGCTGTTTGTGGCATTTGTATAATCAAAACTCATGGAAAATTGCCCCCCTCCCCTCCTTTTTTTTTTTTTTTTTAATTAAAAGAAGTCACTTAGGAAAATAACTTAGCACAGAGAAAAGAATTTCTTCTTTCCCTCAGTAGGAATATGAGGATGATGAATTTATTAGAGAGCTTCATGTTACTTGGTGACTTTTGATCTTAGGAAACTCTGCCTTCCTTTTAGAATAATATTTTAATTACCAGGTGAAATGGATATCAGTTTTTGAATCTTGTATTTATTTTTCTGTGTAATAAAATTAATATCTAGACTTGACCACTGTCAGCCCACCCATTGGCACTCCTACCTTAGGGCATTTGCACATATTTAGTCAGGTCCTTCTTGGCACCTAGTAGGGCATGTGCATTTGAAAACCTGTCCTTAAAAATAGAAGACAGAAGTATTACTTTTCTTTTAGCTTAAGTCTTCTGCCTTCTTTCCTGACTTTGCTCCTGGCTGACTTCCCACAATACAAATAATTGATAGGCCCTTTGTGTTTATAAATACTGCTAAGGTGACTTAGTTGGTCTCCTTGTTGCAATAATTCATAACTCTTTGGAAAATGTCTGCTTTTGGGGCAGAGGCATTTCAGATAGATACCCACCGTGAGGTTTTCTGGGCATGGGAGGAGAGTATTAAGAGATCAGTAGGAAAATCTCTTTCCCTCAACTTTTTTTCCTGGTTTGTTCAAATGGAGAACACAGAAACCTATTACTTAGGTAGAATATGAAGAGTTGCGTTCACTCTTAGACTATGGGCACTTACAAGTCTGAGAAGACAGTGCCTTCTTTCATGCTGGTCTCTTCATACAGGAGGAACAACTGTTTAACACTTGAGCTGAAATAGACCTGATGCTATATTTGGGTCTTTTTCTCCTCTACCATCTAAAAGTGGAAAAAGCAAAATGCACCATAAGAAACCAGATGCAAAGCACATAAATGACACTGTAGGTTTTACAGTCTCTCAATAAGCAAAGGGTGATAGGAGCTTCAGGGAATTCAGGAAATGCCAGTGTTGGAGTTTTGTGGCATTAGTTCCTACCTTTTTTCCTCTAACATGTTGTAGTTACTAGTGAATTCTTTTACAAGCAATACCTAGTTAGAACACTATGTACTGTGCACAGGGAGGAGTGAAGTACTGTTGGCTTAGAAGACCTCATCTTTTGTTTTTCCGTGGTTTTTGTTTGCTTTTCTTTTGTTTCCATACTTGCCATATAACATTGCTGTAGCCCTTTGCTTCCCTCCCCAAATGCCTTGGTGGCTCTTCCTTATCATAAGAGCATGGAACTACCATTTTCAGTTGTCAATCAGTGGACACATATGTACCAAGTACCTGTCCTGCATAAGGCACGGTGCAGGGTAGGTGCAGTGGGGCTGCCAAGACAAATGGGGACACCCCTGCATGCACATGCTTCAGAGTCTGCCTGGCTCCACCTGCCTGGCCTTTTCTTCTTCTTCTTCTTTTTTTTGGTGAAGACTCATTTAGTCCTTTACCCTTCTGCTGCTTTCGTTCTTCCATGTACCTCTTCCATGGGAGTGGATATAAGCGTGTGTCCTTTGATCTTCTCTGATAGCCTCTCATTTGATCTGGCCTCTGTTCTTCATCAACTTTTTATTTTCCTGTCAATCTACTTTTAATAGATCAGGCTTTTAAAAGATCATGAACCTCCAGTTTTAGCACCTCATATATCAAGTCTCTCACATGGCCACAGTTTTAGACAAAAACCAAAGATCCAGAGGCCAGCGCGAAATAGGACCTTCTGCAGATTCACTACTGGTGTATCCTTGGACCTTCATATTTTACTTTAGGATTAATTTATTGAATTTTACTGTTACACGTTGTTTTTGACTTGAATTAAAATGCTAGACAAAGCAGAAATGTACAATTTCTGGTCTGTGTTCTCCAGGAAAATCATTGGGAAAAGAATAGAGTGGATTATATGACTTGAAGTTTTTGCAGCTTATTTTTTCCCCAGCATCAGGGCAGAGCCCCATTTTAAAGAATGTTTTCGCATTATCTATTCTTATGTTAATAGTGTGTTTTGTCTACTTCCACACAGCAGGTGATTTCCCATGACATACTTTCTTTAGCCCCTAATAGTCATCCTCTAAAGAGAATTCTGGTGTGCTGTGTGCACTGTGGATTGGGAGCAGAGAGCAGAGTCATAACCAAGCTCTTCTGTGGCCTTTTGCTTTTACACCAGGTCGCACTTTTCCCGCACCTGCCCCCGTTCCAGCATCCTGACTACCTGACTTGATGCACCAGAACAGGGATTTAGAAATTAATATGCAAAGGGGGGAGGGGAAGGGATGGTAGAGACAGTCAACTGTTTTCCCCTGCAGGGTTGGGATTTTTCCACCTACTAACTAGAGAGAGACTCTGTTTCAACTCTTCTTTCATTGTCAGATCCAGAAGAGTGGGGGTGTGGTTTCTGGCAAGGCATTGTACTGATAAAATTCTGTGGGTAACAACTCCTGTGACATTTGAAATTTCTTTTAAAGGGATTGTTGTTAACCAAAGTGTTGGATTTGGTAGCGTAAATACTTGTTTATGCTTCACAGAACATTGTTCAAAGTAATATCTCTGCTAAAGTGCTGCACTTGGGTCACAGGTTGGATTGTGGCACAAATTCAGTTAAGTCCCTTCCTGCCCTCCAGTTTGAGAGCACAGAGCAAGAACTGGCTGTCGCGTCCTTGTTGCTGCCCTAGAACTAGAACACGTACGTGCTGCTCACCAGCAGCTGTCTTCTCATTCTGATGGAAGGGGCCAGACTGAATGGACTCCGGTATTTGTTACAATTGAGCATTGCATAAACTCGGCTTTTATTGTTCTCAGTTGTGAATATGAACCCTCTAATTTGCTAAGTTAGTCAGATTAGCACCATAGTTAACTTAAAAATGAATTTGCCTGCTTTTTATACTGTGTCACAAGGTTTTTGAAAGAGCTGGGGACACAATGTTGTCTTTTACTTTAAACTTTTATTTCAAATGCAAGGAGCCCGTAATTTCTGTTTTCTAGTATGTGTATGATGTGACTTCCATGTATATATAAAAATGCGCCCTAACCAAACTTCCTCAGATTGTGCACTGTTTGTTTAAAATAATCACGTATTTTAGTCCAATGCTGTTGTATTTTTCATTTTATTTAAAACACTACATACTTCTTATTCTTTTAACAAATTTTAAAGGGTAGTGATCTTAAAAGAAAAATCACTGGATAACTAGGAAATATTTTTGTTGTTGTTTTGTTTTTTAAAGAGTACAAAGGTCCTATGAAGCCTTTTGCTCCTCTTACCATGAAAATGAAATGTTAGCCATTGTATGGCTAGGAACCAATGCACTTGGTGGTTAACAGGTCTGCTGTTGCTGGAGTGTGAGCGTGGACTTGATGCAGTGACGACAAATCATTGCTTAGAATTAATGTTTTAAAATGTGCAACTGTAGTTTTTAAAACAAAATTTAGTTCTTCTTTACATTCATTATTTAGTTTTTGTTTCCATTTAGTATTTAATGGTCTTTGGAGAAAAAAAATAATAAAACAGAGTGTTATATATATATTTTTTGGTGCAAGATAAGATTTTCTGTTTTTTGAAATAAGTCTGTAGCATAAAGGTTAAACTATTTTAAGACAAAATAAAATAGAGTGTATTTAAACAATGATAATTTCTGAGGATTTTTTTTCCTATCTGCTTCAGTTAATTAGATGGTGTCTGGAGCAGCTTCTAAGTTAGCTTTTGGATGTGAAAGTGGATTAGATTTTGTTAACAGATCTTATTGGTATGCCGACTTTTTCCAAGCAATAGGTGTATCCTACTCCCAAGATGTTTTGCACGTGGCTGTTGGTGTGTTCGATCTAGATAAAAGTCGCTTTGCACTGGCTTTCCTCTAGCCCCCGCCTCCCTTTCCAGCTAGGACCAGTGAGATTTCAAAGAGAGCAGAAAGCTTCCTAGCACCTTTGCTCCTGGGCAGAAAACTCAGCGGACTGTTACTTCCCAGGGGCCAGCACCAGATGCCCAACTGCATGCACTTTGCATGTGGTTGAACAGTGAATCAAATATAGGGGGTATCAAAACAGCCTAAAGAACTTGTCCTTTAATTTGGTTCTATATTCAGGGGTTTTATTTAGCTATAAAAATTATGGGAACTACATATTAACATCACATGACTTTTTTCATTTATCTTCATGTTAAGGGGAACAAGGAACTGGGGAGAATGAGGCCTGTCTTTACTAAAACACCACTCCTGGGTCTCTTCATGTTCCTCGGGAATTCTTGGTTCTACTTGCACTGGAAAGGGGTCCATTAACAATGAGGAAATGCAGTGTTAGCAGTTGGGAAGTGTTTTCAGCATTCTGGAACGGTTCTATTGAACTGCCTTGTATCTGAGACCTCGACATGTTAGTGCCTGTGAGAAACTCTTCTTTTCTTGGACTCCAGAAGAAAACTATTTATCTAGGGCCTTGCTTTTGATCCCTTTTGCCCTTGGATGCCGCTTTTATAGAATGAGCAAGTAAAATAATTTGTGGCTAGTTCTTAATCTCATTCTGCCTTCCTCGTTCTATGCTTGGCTGGCTTTTGGCCTCGCCTTGCCTTATTGGTGTGTTTTTCACGATAGATGACAGCTATTTATAACTTTACTCCTGAGAAAAATTATAGATAATGCTTGACCAAATATATAAATAGCTCTTTGGCTCCAATTTTGCAGCTGAAGGAAAGTGAACCTCTTCTAGGTTTTGTTGTGTGTGTGTGTGTGTGTGTGTGTGTTGTTTTGTTTTTTAAAGATTTTGTTTATTTAACACAGCACACAAGCAGGGGGAGCGGCAGAGAGAGAAGCAGGCTCCCTGCTGAGCAGGGAGCCCGATGCGGGGCTCGATCCCAGGACCCTGGCATCATGACCTGAGCCAAGGCAGACGCCTAACGACTGAGCCACCCAGGGGTCCCTGGGTTTGGTTGTTTTAACTCTATTGCTCATCTAGGAAGGAGTGAACTTCCTAGGTCATTGGTAGGTATGACTTTCTTGACTCCATGTTTGAGAGCACCGAGTCACAGAGTCTGAGAAGTTCCTGGGCTACTAGCGGTGGAGCTTTGGCTGGGAGAATCTGCTTGTAGCAGAAGAAAGCAGTAGAAAATACCGGAAGGAACAGTGGGCTCGGACAAAGATGCAGGTGATGATTGTGCACCTCCTAGAGATGCAGAAAGAGCACCCATTTGCTCCAGAGGCTGTGGCACTGTTCGGTTCGGTGCTGCAATGGTGCATCTCTGCACAGGCGCAGGCCTTATAGATGGAGGGGGCTTTAGGCAGGGATCCCTTTGTGTGATGAGGATTCACTGTTTCTTTGTTTCAGCCTAGCCTTGCGATCCCATTTGGTGGGGTGGGTGAGTGAAGGGTCAGCACGAGTGCTGGCAGTGAAGTCAAACCTCAGAAGGGGGCTGTGGCAGCAGCAACGCATGTGACCTCAGATCCTGGCCTGCTGGTTGGGAATACCCTTTGCTTGTAAATTATATCGATCTAGCTTCTTATTCTTTGGTGAAAGAAGCTATATGATACCAGCTTTGTCCTTCGTGCTTTTGATAATTGACACTTGAGAGGAGTCATTTCTGTTTCCTTTCCGTGATGACTCCATTCTAAGAGTGGGAAGGTGAAGTATTGTTCACTGTTGAGCCCTCACACCTGTAATGGAGTCTGAAGCAAGCAAGTC